TAATAATTTAAAATTAATTAAAAAATAATTAAAATATATTATCATTTGAAAATTTTATGGTTATTTTTTAAAATATATATTTAATTTAAAAGTATGCAAATCTATTAACAATAGAAATAACCATAAGATCTAAATTTTTTTAAAAATACTATTTTTAATCTTTTCGGAAATTTACTTTTAGATAAATACATTTAATTTATACTTTTATTAATAAAATAGATAAATACGTATAGATTTAAAATATATATATTTTTACCAACCAAAACTAAACTCGCAAAATTGTGTACAGTGATTTTCTACACAGTTGTCACGTGATCCTTACAGGTGCCATGCTGTGCGTGTGAGGTCGAAACGGAAGAAACGAAAAAAATATAACGGGTTAGGTGTACGGTGGGCCCGGTAAAGGCGGATATCCCAACGGCGTCACACTCAAAGCTGAAAGGACAGATTAGGTTAGGTTGTTAGTGAAGAAAAAGAGGAAGAAGAGTAAGTAAACTTGTTAGTTCAAACCTCCCAAGAGCTTTCTACTTCCATTTTCCCGAGAAAATCTGCATCTCCATTTTCCAATTCAACTCAGAAAATGTTGTCTTCTCGATCACTATTTCGTTCGAATTACCTCATATCGTCCATTTCGCTTTCGCATTCTTTTTCTTCAGCGTCCGCAGCAGCTTCTGAAGCTGAGAGAACGATCAGAGAAGGTCCTAGGAACGATTGGACCAGACAGCAAATCAAGTCTATTTATGATTCTCCTCTTCTTGACCTTCTCTTCCATGGAGTCTGTATCTCTTCTCTTTATTCTTTTCTTGCTTTCTATCCATGTGCCCATCTAAGTTTCCGTTTAAATGTCTGTTTCTCTTGATGCTTACCTGATTCTCTGTTTGGTTATCTATAAATTTAAAAGGTAGATAACATAGCGCAATCTAAGTTGTGCACTTGCTTTACTAACATCACAAAATTCTCATTTGTTTTAACGAATGACAGCTTCACCTCATCCATTTACAAAAACAGTCTACTTAATTTGATCAGTATGATTTTTCACTATTAGTTGCTTTTGCACTGAAAATGTATTGTGATAATGCTTTTCTTTTCTTATTTTATGCGAGAATTTATTCATTTCTATTATATTATGTTTAATTACTACTTAGGTGCACCGTGCTTCAAGTAGATTCCAGCAGTTCGTTAATGTTTTCTTTCTTCTAAATTCCAAGATTCGGAATTAGGTGGCGTTATGTTTGTGTTTGTCTACCAGTATCAACTGAAACTTTTCAACTCTTAGCTTTTTTTTTTAATAATACTAGCCTTTAATTAAATTCAGAACTGAGAAACGAAGCCCAGCATCATTTAAAATTGAACAGTGTTTTAACTTTTACTGGCACTGTTTTATTTTACAGTATTCCTTTTTTCTCATTTTCTCACTACTGCAAAATTGTTTTCTTATTTTCTTCCTCCTCCCAGTTAGTTGTGTTTGTTTAAACTGTGATTATAATACAATATTAACTTATACGAGGTTCATGCTTTTTCAGGCCCAAGTTCACAGACATGCCCATAACTTTAGGGAAGTGCAGCAATGCACTCTTCTCTCTATTAAGACCGGTGGTTGTAGTGAGGATTGCTCTTATTGTCCTCAGTCATCAAGATACGACACTGGACTGAAGGCCCAAAAGCTTATGACTAAAGAAGCTGTCATGAATTCAGCAAAGAAGGTTGCTAGCTCTCTCTTTTAAGGCCTTCTAAAAGCTTTTTTATTGGATTATGAATTATGTCAATAAGACTGTTATACTCAGCAATGAATGTATGTCCTGCTACTGTTAATAGGAGGTGGCATATTAGTTTTCCTTGTGCTGAAATTGTTCCTTTTGCCTTCAGTCACTATAATAAGCTATGTCCCGAATTGAGACCCGTATACCTATTGCATTTCGCAGGAATGCAATCTATGTTGAATACCTGTGTATGCACATGCAACCACATTTCTTTATTTGGGAAGCTCCTCTATAAGCATGAAATTTAGGTTGAATAGAAGTTTTTTTCTGTGTGAATCAGACATGATTTTCCACTTTTTCATCTGTTAAACTGCGTCGCTAGGTAAGGGATATTTATTTTAGTAAGTTGTCTGATATTTCTAAATTTAACTCTAGTGTTCTCCAGATTCCTGCTTTGTTTTTCAATATGTTGGGTGTAATTGATGTTGATGAAATATCTTTGATTAAACCTTATGAATTTGCAGGACCCTGAATCCTGTGAGCACTTAATTTTTGGACTGCCAGTTTATGGCAGTATCTATTTTTATGTTAAAGAAATATTTCTATGTTTTTCATGTAATAGGATTCCTTTCTCATGTTAGAATGATTTCAACGTCTTAAATGCTTTCAGGCTAAAGAGTCTGGTAGCTCACGTTTCTGCATGGGTGCTGCATGGCGAGATACAATAGGAAGGAAGACTAACTTCAATCAGATACTTGAATATGTGAGAGAAATAAGGTAATGAAGCAGCATTGGCAACAACACATGGGAGAAATTCTTTATGGTCAAACTATAAGAACAATCTTCTGAATCTGCAAGATCTTAGATATTCTTTATTCTATAAGTTCTAATGTAATATTTCAATTTTGGAAGTAAGTATCACAAAGAAAGGAAAACCAGTTCATTTGAGGCAAAACAATAACTAAGGAACTTGACAATTGAGTTCTCTCCCTCCTGTTTGTTCATTCATACACTTATAGTCAGAGCCAACCATGTACTGTCAATTTGATGCTGGAATGTGAGTAACAAGGGTCAGTTTGGTGCTTCACCCAAGGTGACTGCTCGCAAATAGATTCGTACTGGATCTAATCATTAGGGTCTAGCTAGAAAAGGTATTTCTTTTGAACAGAGGCTGGTTAAGTGAATGTACAGCTTAACCTGTAGGTGATTATTGTTCTGGTGGCCATGGTGTAAGCTGTTGTGGAACACAGCTACAAGCTGGCAAGCATCAGTTGAGTGACAGCAGGTTCTATTTTGGTGAAATTTTTGCTTGATCTGGGTTTGTGAAGTAGAGGCAGTGGACAAACATTTTCAGTCATTCTCCTGTCCATCTTTTAGTCGGTTCAGAGGGAGTGAAGCAGAAGATTTTTTACTGGGGTGGAAAGTCTTTCATAGGGTTAGGGGGGGGTGACAGCTAGTACCCTTTACTCTTGGATTAGAAGCCACTATCTCGCATATGAGGAGTGCTTGTGGATCTTATACATTTCTTGCTTGTAATTAGCTTTTGTTTATGGGAGGCACTTTCTTCATTGTAGATATGTTTTCTTTTCTTGTAAATGAAAATATATTATAAGGTTTCTGATAGTGATTTGAAGACTCAAGTTGAACCCTCCTTTGTTGGAATCGTGGTTGTTCTTAAAGGAAATATCTTAATTACTTTTATATAAGCAAATATCTAACTTTTATCCTAGTTTGTATTTACTTGGTTCATGCATCCGGTTATTGTCTTTTCATGTGTTTATAGAAGAATCTTTCTGTGTTCTAGAGCATCCAACGGCGACATATAAGGTAGAAGAAAACAGTGATGTTTGGATGTGTAATGACCCATTCTCCTAGTTTTGTTTACTGGTTTTTATTGATAAGAATGTCTTATGCCAGGGACATGGGAATGGAGGTTTGCTGCACCTTGGGTATGCTGGAGAAGCAGCAGGCTATTGAACTCAAGAAGGCCGGCCTTACAGCTTACAATCACAATCTTGATACCTCACGAGAATACTATCCAAATATTATCACAACTAGAACTTATGATGAACGACTTGAAACCCTCCAATATGTTCGTGAAGCTGGAATTAATGTTTGTTCAGGTGATTTGACTGAAAATTACAATATTTGTTATTAAAAAAATTATTCTCCCCATAGATAGGCTATCTGGTCCACTAAATGGTCTTAGTTTTGTTTCCCCACATCATCTTTTTCTTTCCAATCGTAGATGGACACTTTCTGATGATCAAGGTGCATTTTCCGTACAGCACAATGTATGGTTTTTTTTTGAGATAACACAGCGCAATGTATGTTAGTCCCAATTCTTCCACATTCCGCCCTTAAAACACTTTGCTTTGAAGAAGTTGGTTTATTTTTAAGTTGGCTGTTCAGTATTTCACTTAATGCTTGTTAAGGGTGTCTCTCTGGTGTTAGCCTGTATATGCCCTCATGTCCACATAGATTAATCTTTTCCTTTCAACTGCAAGGAAAACAGTGATGTCACAGTTGATCATTACTGTCTATCTTATTTTCGAAGCTCATTCTTTTCTGTCCACAGGAGGAATAATTGGGCTTGGAGAAGCAGAGGAGGACCGAGTTGGGTTGTTGCATACGCTGGCCACACTGCCTACTCATCCAGAGAGTGTTCCTATCAATGCATTGGTTGCAGTAAAAGGCACACCTCTTCAAGACGAGAAGGTAATTTCAGTCCTCTTCAAACCAAAAATGCAAACTTCATCATGAATGCATAAACATATATAAAGTTGGGTTAAAAGTTCAGCACCAGTGTTAGATAGGATGCAAGGTGTTTTCTTCATTTAACATGTGGCAATATGTATATATAGATTGTATATTTACTCAAAACATCTCTAGGTGACTACTAGAGTTCAATTAGATTTATAACAAATTAAGGTCTGGGAGAAAAAAGAATTTATGTAAAAAGTGTATGTAATTGAAAAGAATTATGAATGAAGAAATTCACTAGAACCCTTGGATTTCACTAGAACCAGGTTCTTGATAAGAGTCCTGTAATTTGTTACAAAGTGATCCCTATGTGAGGAGACTAAAATACTCTTCTCATATTGCTTTTGCTAGCTCAATCTCCTGCAATCTTGTTGGTCAACCACAATTAGAAGGGAATAAGTATGTAATAACTGCAAATCCTCATCTATTGTTGTTGCCAAGAGATTCTTCCCTCTATTCATCAAACTTCACTATGCTTAACTCCATAGTTTTAAAAATCGAAAAATTGCTTTGATAGACCATGGAACTTGGAGACTTAGTGTTCATTCAGGCAAACTTCTGCTTCTACTTTTGCTGTCAAGAAGTAGAAGTACAGAAGTGTTTTAAGTAAAAGCGGAAACTTTTTTTTTTTTTTTGTTTTTGAGAAAGATGAAATCAGAAGTTGAAATAGATACTTTTGAGAGACGGTTTGTGCTGTAGGAAGTAAGTAATATTTTCAACATACATACCTATTAACTTTACGTTTCATTAATTAATAAACTTAATATTGTTAAAATAAAAATCTAATATTAGTTCATTTTTAACAATTTTATATTTATTGTATATTATTTAAATAACATGTAACTTAAAATAAAATAATAATTTAAAATTAATATTTATATTTAATAAATAAATAAAACAATAAGATTAATTCCACATTTTACATTGAAAGCAGTTTCCATCGAAAAATTTACTGGCATATATTGTTTTTCATCTTTAAGTTGTTTAAACTGAAAATTATTTTTAAAGGACTTTAACCAACTCCAACACAAACATTAGCCAGACCGGTGGCAGCCTTCCTAGTGGACCCAGAACCACTACTCTCCAGTGGAGACGATCTGACTGCCTTCATATACTAATAGAAGGTGCTCCTTCATGATCCCTCCATCCCACACTGATCTTTCCTTCTAGAACAAAGAGGCAACTTGTCTTTCTACCTTTGGCAAATTCTGATGAAGACAGAATATTCCTTGTTTCTTATGAAATGTTTCAGCCAGAAAGTAATTGCTTACACTGTCTAAACAAAAAAAAGTATTTCAAAAGAACACTGTCTAAAAAACTACTCTTTTAATTAGATAGCAATGGCTGGATTTCTCAACAATCTCATCCCATCCCTTAGAAATGTGAAAGGACTTTATCTTCAAAATTCTGAAATTGCTTGGACCCCAATATCTAGGGGCACTTAGGTCAAGGGGGGCAGCTAGCGAGTTCTTTGTTAGCTTGGAGAATGACTATAGTTTGCAACTATATTGAGAAGATGAAGGTCGGTGACCTGGTAGTTGAAGAGATCAGAGACTTGAGGGAGGATGTCGTGGGCTTTTTTACGACTTTCTATATAGAACCTTTCAGTTGGCAATGGAATCTAAATGACCTAGATTTTGACGCTCTTGATGAGTGGAAGGTAC